TACTCTCCCTCAGGAACAGGCATCTTCTGACCACTTTGATCAAGAGCAGGTGTCAAAATGTTAAAACTGATTAAATGGTTTTTGTTATAGGTCATAAGGTTATTATGACACTTATGGTTTTAAAACACTTAATATAATAAATCTTACAATTATACTGTGTTTTTAAAAGGCCTATTATTAACATAATATACAAAGATGGTTGTTATATTTTTAGTTATGTTGGCAAGACAGGAAGTGTGCAAAGCATTATAAAAGTTAATACTATAGTACAGTTAGAAATATCATAAATTAATAACATATAAGTATTTAATAATTGTTTTAATGATTATATATAATACTTTGTCATTTTCTTTTTTGCTTGCTACTTAATTTAAAGGAAATTATGTGTTTTCTGTTTGTAATAGATGCATATTCAATTTTGTACTAATGTAAGTAGTCTCAAATAATTAGTACTTCATATGCTTTCTTTATGGACTCACTAAAATAGACATTAGGCTTTGATATGAAATCTTTATTGTTATAACATCACATCTCACAAATTGTGGCTGGAATCTAGTACAATAAAATTTAGTACTACACGTCGAGGCCATGTGACCGTCCATGACTGGAGTATTATAACTGACAAAGTTTTATGAACTTGTTTGTTTTAGAATTTTTATTCAATGCTGTATAATTAATCATTCATAATCTTCAAATAATAGACTATAGGAAAGGCAGCATGCCAACAACATCCATTGCCAACTCTGGGACTACTCTTGTCTGACCGAATATTTTGATATGACTATCACTTTTAAAGTGCATTTTTTTCAACAACAGATCATGAACCACAAAGCCATGGATTTACAGTCCAAAGCAAGCTAAGCACCAGTCCAGGTCGATTGTTAGTAATAATCCCAAGAATGATCCATAAATGTATAGATAAAAATAATAAAATCACTGTCCTGAAGTTGAAGATTTAGTGAAGTAAAATAAATTTAATTAAAATTAATTAAGTATTCTAAATTTATAAATTATGTTAAAAGAGGAAACGATTAGTGTTTCCAGATATAAAAAAAGTTAACAAATTAAATTAAAGGCTATACTCTTTCATGGGATTTGAATATTAACTTTAAAGGACCTTGAGTAACATTTCACACACTTCAGTTTCCTTTACTCAGTTATTATAGACAGCAAATCAAAATGAATGTCAAACTTTTGATAGAAAAAATAAAAATAACTCAGTGCCTCCATTTGAAAGCATAGATTACTGTCAAATAGTATCATTTCATTACAGAAACTGTACTGATACACAAAGGGTGATAAAAGACCTAGTTATTATTTCATTATAGAAACTGTACTGATACACAAAGGATGATAAAAGACCTAGTTATTATTTCATTACAGAAACTGTAATGATACACAAAGGATGATAAAAGACCTAGTTATTATTTCATTAAAGAAACTGTACTGATACACAGAGGATGATAAAAGTCCTAGTTATTATTTCATTACAGAAACTGTACTGATACACAAAGGGTGATAAAAGACCTAGTTATTATTTCATTACAGAAACTGTACTGATACACAGAGGATGATAAAAGACCTAGTTATTATTTCATTAAAGAAACTGTACTGATACACAAAGGATTATAAAAGACCAAGTTATTATTTCATTATAGAAACTGTACTGATACACAAAGGATGATAAAAGATCCAGTTATTATTTCATTACAGAAACTGTACTGATACACAGAGGATGATAAAAGTCCTAGTTATTATTTTATTACAGAAACTCTACTGATACACAAAGGATGATAAAAGACCTAGTTATTATTTCATTACAGAAACTGTACTGATACACAGAGGATGATAAAAGACCTAGTTATTATTTCATTAAAGAAACTGTACTGATACACAAAGGATTATAAAAGACCGAGTTATTATTTCATTATAGAAACTGTACTGATACACAAAGGATGATAAAAGATCTAGTTATTATTTCATTACAGAAACTGTACTGATACACAAAGGATTATAAAAGACCTAGTTATCTCATGATGCAAACTTCATACCTTTCTAGTATTGGGGGTCTGCTATAATTTTCATATGGGCATATTTAGACCTTGAAGAGTTCTGCTATAAACATACTGTCTTTTTTATGGGCTCACATATGCAAGAAAACATCATTTGAAAAGATGATGAGAGGGGCTAGCAGTAGCTGACAAATCAACTAGAGACTGATAGCTAACTAACTCTGATTAATATTGAAGTACTTTTTATATTACTTGCATGTTGGTGCGAAACAAATGAAAAAGAATTATTTAATTTCTTTAATATGTAAAATAGCATCGTCATGTTTTTGTAGAAATTAAATAAAGCACATTTCTGGCAGTTTTAAATTTGCTTTTATTCTCACTGTCATATTTGTTTTATTCCAATACTAATCATCAAATTGTACAATGGAAATAAAATAATTTAAAACCGTATTTTTACATTTACATGTAATCACCATAATAATACATTCATTCAAATAATTAGAAACAAAAAATAATTCTTGAATAATGAAAATAGAAATGTAAACATCTACTTACTGCATGCTCTGTTAAGGCACCAGCAACCATAGGTGCAAAAATACCAGAACAATTAGTAACTGTGTTAACAATTCCCATCACAGCACCTAAAAAAGTTAAAAAAAATATAAATACAAGTTCTTTCTTTTGATGGAAACATAACTAAAGATACATTTTCTTTTTTGTAGGCTAGAATACAGTAAAATGCAATACCAAAAAAACTCAGAAGAATGATTTATATGTGTGTTATAAATAGTGCAAGAGACAACCGAAGAAGGGAAGCATTACTGGAACAATATTACACATATAGTTTTCTGTTTTATTGAATTGACAATGTCAGTATGACTAAGATTCTGATAAGTTGGAGTGCATGAGAAGAATAAAAATACTTTTATCCATTGTATAGTTTGCGTATTACATTTGTATAACATCTAAAACTTCCAAACTGTATATCTACAATTTTTTTCAGTATCCATGTATACTGTATCTGGTATTTATTTACTCTCTTCTGTCATGAGTTATCATTAAATCAGCAGTGTAAGGTAAAATGAATAACTGATAACTCCGACATCAAATACATAATACCATGTTGAATGGCACTCCATAAAATGTCTTGGAATGCACATTTTGACCTCCACCTGAGCACACAGGTTTAAGAAAAAGGAAGTTATACTTAACAGTAAGTATGCTTTATGATAAATAAACATCAGATTTTAAGCATCAATTTTGATTAATTTTTTAGAATCCTTGAGATGAGAACAGATTGCGATTATTCTTTCACCAAAATTCCATGATAAAAGAAAATAGGATTTTTTAGTAACTAAAAATCTATATTCTTGTTTTACTTTTATCAACAGACATAAGCAAACAATACAATGATAATAAAAATGTTACAATATTACAAAACATAACTCATGAATATACAAGAGAAGCATGACAATAAACATACTACATCTATCTAATGGGTCTATGAGAACAAAATAGAGAAATGTTAAAACTGGTGATGACACATTATTAATCACTGGCAATGTCCACAGAAAACTCTACTGATTGTGTGATTAATATGTTGTTGATTTTTCAATTCTTTGTATTATACTCCAAAGTTATTACTGACTAGAACATAGTATTTAGCCTGTTTGTTTCAAAATGTACAGTACTGGAAATGGAAGTGCAAAACATACAAGTAATACTCTAAAATGAGTCACACACAAGTCAATTAATTAAAAAAAATATAGTACTGCTGGAAGCAATGTCTTAATAGTCTGAACACACCAAGCTCTCTTCACAATTATTGGCATTGTTTGCTAAAATAAAACAGACAATAACTTGATTTATGTAGTTTTAGAATATGTTCTTTCTATTGGTTATAAACACGTCCAATTGTAGTTTCAGAGAGAATTATAGAAACTTTTTAAAAGTCAGAGGATACAAGTCAACGTGGGTTGAACAAATATAATATCTCAATATAGCAAAAAGAAGTTGAAATTGTATATTCTGGCTTGTTAGTAAGTACAGTATGATGTTCTAATTGGTTGAACAATTTGAAACCTTTATAAGTACAGTGAGAAAATCTATAAACAAGAAGTCAGAGTGCCATCTCATCATGTGATTCAAAGGTGCAGACTGAGAGTTTATTTAAATATTTGCTTTTGAAATTAAGATATTAAAGTTATGATAATAAAGTAGTTTAATTAAATTTTTAATGTAACTCTGTATAACAAAAGGTTGTAATGTGCACTTTGACCCTTCAACATCTATAGGGTCAATTATATTTATAATGAGACTTTGTGTAGGTCAAGCCATGGTTGTAAATGTTGGTTTTTCCTTCCAGATATTGTTCATCACATATTCTGCATGTTTGAATTAATTGTTTTTATTAGTAGAAGTATCCCTGCCCAACAGATCTTGTCTCTGAGAGAATGGCATGACAGATAAGAATCTGGATGTACCTATCAGTAGTCAGAATGCCATTAAATTTGTGAAGATCTCCAACATCATTGGCTGAGGTGCAGCCCATACTTGTATTGGTCTCCCAGTAATCTCCACTTGTGTTGATGTTTTATGTTGACTGTGATTACATTGTCCTATCTTCCATTGAAAAAAGTATTGTTGTTTCGTGCACCACAAATTGGATTTTGATTCATCTATAAAAAAAGCACCTTCCTCCAACTTTGCTCATCCCACTTCTGGAAGTCCGAAAAGCATCTCCAAACTTACAGTCTTTTGTATAAAAGTTAAAATACAAGATGGGACACAGCAAACCCCATCTCGAAGATCAAATAATAAGTATGATTTGCATGATCATAGTAGCTTCACATTATAAATATCAACTACCATCATCAAAGCATGTAAAAGTTATTAAAAAATTGTATAAAATACAAGAGAATTAGTATCTTTATTGAGACATTAACTATGGCCCACCAAGCATTCTGAAACAGTTGAAAACAAAACTTCATTGTCATAGTATTGCAAAAAGAAATTATAACTATAGCATGTAACAGTTTTGCAAATACCCTGTTTAACCAGGTTATGAAAATGGTTCAAAAACTAGTAAGAAAAAAATTGTTCTTCTTTCTAACCTGCATATGCCGGAGCAAGATCCAATGGAACAGGTGTGTCACCACCAGTTGTAATCGCTAAGAAAACCATGCTAAGTATCAAAACTGAAAGAATGCCAACGTGATTACAGCGAAGAAGAGGTACAGCTATCAAACACAGACCTGTAAGAAGCAAACCTACAGGGAAAAAGAATGAAAGTGAAAGATTAGAAATAACTTAAAAAGCTATTTCTTGATGAAAATTAACATAAACATATGAATCTCATATAACTGATACTCGAAACCATCAGTACTTAATGAAACTCCAAAATTACAGAATTGAAGAAAAAACAAAGAGAACCGTATGTTTCACAAAAACTTCATTTATTCATGACCATGGTTTCACAAATAAAGACATCATCAGGCATGTATCTCAATTATCTATATAGCATTACGTTTGTCACTTGCTTATTCTGAAAAATCTCTTACATTTTCCTTTCTGAACTTTTCTTCTGTTGTCTTTCAACGTAAATGTTTTTTCATGTTACCATAAGTAAACCTCTGGTTGTGCAATACCTCAATTTCTCAAAAGTATTTATTTTAAAAGTCTCAATACATTAAGTATACTAGTCTCAATTCATCACACAACAAATGTTCTGCTGTTAATGAAGAGTATATAAATAAGAAAAAATATGAAGCTATGCTGTAATCCTGAAAAGTCTATACTACAAACTAGATATAAAATTCAGCATGTCACTTAATCTTCGATAGACAATGCTTTCTTCGGTTTCTAACAATGAATCTTTGATAACAACGCAAATTCTCGTTTTTAAGACTCATAATGTAAATAAATTAATATGTAGAATAACACACGGACTTTTCTCTACGTTAAAATACTTCTATTAGCAAACTTTTGGCCCTCTTACATTGTTGCCCGATGAATGGTCCGGTAAAAAAGACTGAAAGCTTGCTAATAAAAGTATTTTAATATAGAGAAAAGTCCGTGTATAATTCTACATAAAACAAATTATTAATGTTTTATAATAGCGTTTATTTTCATATATTTTATAATATATATTTGCATGATAGTGACTTTGATCATAAATTCTTTCTGCTATTATGCTAAAGAATTATAATGGATGCAAAAAAATGTAAAAACAAACAAACTGAAAATAAATAAATAAATAAAAGGACTTGTATGTTTGTAAAATTTATCTAAATGGCATGCAAAAGTGATTCCACTACTCCATCCCTATCTAAAGCACTGATAAAATAATTATGTGCACTCGTGATGAAATAAATAAATACTAATAACAAGAAACTTAATTATAGCAAACTTAATGATCTGAATGTAAAGCATATACACTCAAACCTGATACACTGGTGGTCTATAAAGGTTAATTTGAGCTATAATCAACTGTATGAATTTATCAAAAATTGTTTCAATTAAAGACATTTCAACCCTGAAAAATTCCCGTGTGATAAAAGGCTAAGAAGGCCCTTTGAATTCCTTTTATTTAATTAATCTATAAATTCACTATAAATCTCAATAATTTAACATTCAGATTTAGTCATAAAAGCTGTATTTTAGTTGATTAATCTGTTTTATGATTTTATGAACATTCTATGTAAGCTTTATTTTTCTGTAACTTAGAAGACTGATAATATGACTGTAAGTTAGTCAGAAGTGTTTTATGTTAGCTTTCTTATTTGCACTAAAAGAAATATCTTCTTGCTACTTATGAGTGAAACAGCTGAAGTACAACACGTGCGTGCGCCTCAGTGGAATTTTTCCACACCTCTATTTATTGTGATAGAATTTAGCTGTGCATTTAACTACAGACTAGAGTTTGCATATATAACCTAGATATTAACATGTTTAAGCAACATTATCCGGAAGAACTAACTTTTTTTACTTGCCTGTTGTTTCAAACAGTTTTCTTATATGAGTAATCTTAAGCTGGCTTCGAGCTCTGATGCAATCAGCGGCAACACCAAAAATAACAACTGATATGGTTTGGGCAAGGTACATTGCAGAATTTTCAAAACCATTCTGGAGATGCAGAGAGAGACAAAACAAAGGAGATCTACAGAGGGTTTGAAAGCCAAGTACAAAAACAAGCAAGTGGCATACTGGAGTTTAAATGTACAAATCAAAACAATACAATCAGAAACAAATCAATAATCACAATCATTATGGGAAAATTGGGAAATAGTGTATACTTTCTACTTTTCCTTAATGAGGAAAAGTTCACTTTCCAAAAACAGTCATGCTCTATAAATCTTATATCATATAATAGCTTACAAACTATGATATACTTGTTGGTATGAGGTGTAATACTTTATACTTATAATGATTAGCAATTAAATTTTTATACAGTAGCAAAATATTTCTTTTTTCTTGAATGGCAGTTTATTATAAGCTTCAACCATCGTAACTGATATGTATGTTGATAGAAAAACAATAATTAGGTATTCAGTTTATAAGTGTCAACTTATAACAATACATACACAGATGACTTGTGGTAAAACAAGTATTGGTCAAGCTTCAATTGAATTATAAACAAGTTAAGGTTTTAAAAGTTTCCATAAAAAGAATACAAGTTCGATGAACAGCTGTTGACCAATATTTATAGCAAATCTAATTATTTCTGATTAGTATTAACTTCCAATAAGAGCAAGCTAACTACTAAGATCAAGAACAAAAAACAACTGGTAATGAGTATAGCTAATGATGACATTAAAAAATGTTAAATTTTCAAAAACCAATATCATAAATAGGCCATGCTCTCCAATATAATTGTATGTAAATTCACAAATGGAAAGAGTGTGGCAAATATAATTTTCATAAAAGGCTACCATTAACAAAATGTCTGCCTTTACTATAGCATACTATATAAGAATAAAATAAAATAATTTGAAGTATTTTTAATATTACATTATTCGTTCACTACACATAAATGTGTTGGCAAAATTTTTTTGCTATGATAGTTAACAATTAATAGTACCTTGCCTCTAGACACCTTATTCTATTAAGTTTAATTTATTTTACTTACTCTTTTGATGGGAGAATGTAAAACACTATTAAAATAATTTGGAAGTTCGGTGAAGAGTGTGTAGAAGCCCCAAGATGCACAGCATTTTGTTAATGCTACAGCCCATACTGGTCTAGAAGTCAAGATGGCTCTCCACGGAATTGCCTGCTTCTATAGCAAAAAACAGCAATGAAAAATATTTTTTATTTCAGCTGTTATTAGTTTATTTTGCTTTCTAATGTAAAAGAAATTCAAAGGTTTTATTTGAAAAGTGAACAAGCAATAATGTTTTGAAGCTATATGTATAACTACACAGCTGAGAGAGCTACATACAGATATGCAAGTGCTTGATTACTACAAGACTATCATTTGTTTATTGATTTTCATGCAAAGCTAAGTGATGACTATCTGCACTAGCCATCCCTAATTTTGAAGTGATAGAGGAGAGGGAAGGCTGCCAACTCTTGCGATGGGTTTCAATCCCACAACCAGCAAATTGTAATTTGAGTACCATAACCAAAGGCTTTTTGGGCCTGTACTGTAAGATTATTTATTAAGTTAATCCTCGCTCTGATATTCCTGTGCCCTTTTAAAGTATATTATAAAAAGATCTGATCTAGTTTAGAAATAGCAACTTTAATTACACGTGCAAATTCACCATAAATGTTTAGTATTCATTTAAGTTCAGGCACATAAATTCACTTTTTTTTTCATGAATTTGCACAATTACACAAAGATATAACAGACGAAAACAAGTGAAGAAAATTTCAACATGAAAAAACAAGAAAAACTTTACATGAATCATACTTGTGTCCAAGAACAGTTGGTAAGTAACAGATAATATAAACAATGAACATGTATGACCTAGAAGTGATAGGACTGATTGTAGGATTGGAGGTTTTTATTTGGACTAATCAAGTAACAAGATAAGCAAACAAGTTTCTTAAATATTAAGCCTAAAGCTTTGAACTATCATCAAGATGTGGTGTAATTCTGAGATTGATACAAGGTTTGTGTTTGACTGGCTACAAAATGATTTTATTATTTTCAGATTTTTAAAAAGAACCTCATATTAATGTCCATGTTTTTGGAGTATTCCTTATACATGGTAATTAATTTCTCATTAGTAAAAAAACTATGAACTATTTTCTTCTCATAGATAGATATTGGCTAATTACAGCAAGCTACAATTTAAAGCTATGAACTATTTTCTTCTCATAGATAGATATTGGCTAATTACAGCAAGCTACAATTTAAAGCTATGAACTGTTTTCTTCTCATAGATAGATATTGGCTAATTACAGCAAGCTACAATTTAAAGCTATGAACTATTTTCTTCTCATAGATAGATATTGGCTAATTACAGCAAGCTAAAATTTAAAGCTATGAACTATATTTTTCTTCTCATAGATAGATATTGGCTAATTACAGCAAGCTACAATTTAAAGTTTTTTTAGTAAATTCCTGAACCTTTTCATCCCAGCTATAGATAGGTGTTTACAGTACGTGTGTGTGTGGAACAACCTAGTTATCAAGAGCTACTTGTTTGTTTGTTTTTTGAATTTCACGTAAAGCTACACGAGGGCTATCTGCACTAGCCGTCCATAATTTGGCAGTGTAAGACTAGAGGGAAGGCAGCTAGTCATAACCACCCACCACCAACTCTTAGGCTATTCTTTTACCAATGAATAGTTGGTTTGACCATCACATTATAATTAACCTGTGACCCACAGATTATGAGTCGAGCTCCCTAACCACCTGGCCATGCTGGGCCTAGAGCTACTTGAAAAAGATTTAAACAACTTTATATGCTGGTTCCAGATTGTTCAGCAACAAAGACAAACTGTGAATGATAATTTACACAAATATTTAAAAATCTGTGAATAAATATTTGATTATGATCATTATACATAACAATATTTTTTAAATAATGTAGTTGTTTTGTAATTTCTTGATCTATACAATATATATTGATCTAATCCAATACAAAACTTACTGTAGGTGGACTGTTACTACTGGGTCAAGGAAGGATTACATTAATTAATATACACTAGCAGAAACACCGCTCTATGGATGGCTGTTTGTGCTAGAAATTAATAATCATAGTATTCGTACCTCATTGAAATAAACTTAGAAAAGTGAGTATTTTCTAAAAAAGGATATTTTTTCAGAAGTACTGCACAGGAAAAGTGTTTGGTTTGTGCTCTTTTGTCGTACACAACTCATTGCATCAAAATGATGCAACATACAGAGTTCAAACTTTTCATAAATTTTACTGATATAAACTGTAATGTTTTTATATATTGAAAAAAATAATAGTTTTTTTTAAGAACTTCAGTTTCTCAGTACTACATTTAAAAGTTACATCAATAAAGATATAATCAAACCCTCATGTACATTCCTAGTGAAAGTTGTGTTCTTTTTTGTGAGGAGAGTACTTTTATTTAAAATTGTGTTCTATTATAAAGAAGTGGTTATCTGAATCTTGAATACCCAAAGTGTGAAATTTACGGATTTTTTTTGTTTGTAACAGATGGCACAGGAGTTTTGATTACATACATAAATAATGACATACACGCTACGTCCATTATAGTAAGATTACAACTGAGTTTTAAAACTCAAAAATATACATAGCACATTTTAAATTGTTACTGATACTATACTTAAATACAATAGTTATTTTAATTTTTCTGGACACAATAAAAAGTGGGATAATATTTAGTCATTCCATTATGATGCTATGATCACCAGCATATTTTACACTGAAAATGAATGATTTCAAACAATGCTTTTGTTCAGTTATTTATATTGTGTCTTGTAACCACTAACATTATTCAATATGATGAAATATATAGACTCCACCAATAGTGGTGACAATAAAAACGTCTGTAAATTGAGTTATAACAGAAAAAATATATATATAAGAAAACAGAAAATTAGTTTCACAAGGTTTTGAATTTCAATGTTTACTCAATTTTTTCATATCATTTAAATATTCAGCACTCATAAAGATAAAGTAATCAGATCAAGAAGTAATTTACACGTCTGATTTTAGTTTAGTAAAGATGCTTTTTTTAAAGATTTAGATTGTCAAAGAGTTAAGTAAATATTTATACCTGATGAGATGATGATGATGATATAGCATGCCTGTTTTGTTGAATGTAAATTAACTCTTCTTCAGAAATCCTTGGATGGCTTTCTGGAGTGTTTGTTACAAGTAGACTCCAAAATAAAAACCAAATAACTCCACAAAAACCTAAAAAATGGATAATAAAATAGAAACTAAGAAAGATCGAAACTGACAAGAAGGTATTCACAAGTATCCTTAATGAACATTTCTACTACATGGAGAAAAAAAAATGCATCTAGACAACAACTGAAACTTCAATTGTCTGAAAACAAAATGTCAAGACACAAGTTCATGATGAAATCAAAATCCATTTACAACAACTAAAAAATGATAGCATATGTATCAAAAGACTACATTCTTATAACTAGAAGGTTTTAAATAAATTTTACTCTTTTTATGTACCAATTAGCTTCAACTTTACAATTTAAAATAAGTTGAGGGACTGGAAACATATTCAATGATCAAAATATAAGTACACATGCAAATTTTACAGATTTTTCAAATAATAGCATATCTTATTTTAGTAAACACCATTTATGGATAAAAATAACACGACTATTAAAATAATAATTATAAAGAAACTGTTAAAGATTTAAGTACAAAATGTAGCACTGACTGTTTGTTAGTTTAGGATATTTGCATAAAGCTATACAAGGGATATCTGTGCTTGCTAACCCTAATTTTAAACTGATGAATTAGACAGAAGACAGCTAGCCAACAGCATCCACCATCTTAGAATAACTAATCAAATAGTCAGTTTTGACCATCACTTTTATAACACACTTATATTCCCAAAGTGCAGATTTTACAGCAAAGAGCCTCAATCCATAGATCCTTAGATTCACAATCTGGTAAGCTAATCTGTTACGTCAAGCCACCCTAGGTTTAATTGAATTGGAGATCTTATAAATTTTTCAGTTTTCTAAGGCATTAACTAAGTAAACACAATGATAGTATAAGGGCTGGCTTTAACATTTTTTAAAATACATTTTTTAATAGTTTTAGTTTAGTTTAGAGGATGAACCAGTTAAGAAAGACCAGTAGGTCCCATGTTGTCCCAAAATGTTATGTCAGATAAAATTTTACATACTATGTAACATTTTTAATTTTTAGGCCTACAGAAATTTAACAATTTCTCAAAATTGTCATTTTGATGTTATTACATGCCTATACAGAATTAGAAGTTAAACTTAAGACTCCAAAAATGAATCTGTTTCTGTGCATATTTACCACCACAGTTAATTTAGCTATTAATAAAAACTTGGTTCTCGTGATTTATAAGCAACACCCTTAATGAGGGATGGTGAGTACTTTCTTCATTTAAAAACATTCAGTTGTAAAGCCTATAGTTCTATTAAACATATTATTTTTAACATACAAACAACTACATAATAAACATACCAAAAACATAAAACACAGAAGGCCAACCTCCATCAAACCCATATTCACATAGTAAAGCTGACACTGGAAGTGTGATAACCATTCCTAAGTTGGCCCCACTACCCGTGATACCTGTTAATGTGCTTCTCTCCTGAATTGGCGTCCAATGAGACAAAAGGGAAAATAAAGAAGGAAAGGTGACTCCCTGTTTGAGATAGAAAAATGATATTAAGGTCAAATACAGTATACATAATTATTAAATGTTAAGTAGAACTATGAAAAGAAATAGAATACATTTTTTAAAAACTCCATACATGTTAATAATGCAGAGAAAATAAATAAATGTATGTTTATTTATGATCTACTTTCTGTGCTTGGTCACAAATCTATTAACACAGGTACCAAAATAACTGCAATGCATGATTGTGCATGATGCAGTGCCTCAGGTGCTAAAAATCACACTTCACAAGGAGGGATGCAACCAAGAAAGGTAACAGCTCATTTGAGAAGCTCTAAATAATCGTCTCTAGGTTGGTTAACCTTAAGTTGTCTTGTAGCAAACTCAATGAAACTCTCCTTAATTTCCTCTATTGTTTCTGCTACTTCATCATGACCAGCTACAGTTTTATGACTGGACTGGAATCTATTGAAAGTTAACATTTACCTTACATGAAAATGTATATCCTACAGATACTCACTTCCACACACAGCTATTACATGTATTCTGCCATGCTACTAGCATCGTTAAATTTCATGGGAACTTGTGACTGTATAGTGATGTCATCATGCAGCACAAGCCTTCCATCAATAGGAGGGCAACAAGCCTCCATATGCACCATCTCCCTCTAAGCATTTGCATTCGTGAATCTTCATTCTTCAACCATACAAGTAAGAAAATGTGCACTGGAAGTGGGGAGGATGGGTGAAAATATGTGTAGAGGTATCTATCGTAAATACACTTCCAGGTTAAGAAAATGTTAAATTTTGAAACAAATACTTGCCTCCACACACAGTTTAACTAGAATCTCATGTTCAGATGGTGGAGGGACTGGTACGAAGCTTACCTAGATAAGCCCTCTTCAAAAAGCATCTGAAGGAAGCCAGTGGGGTATGACATCCAACAGCAGAGACTTCATAGGGGCTCACCCATGGGAGACTGCATCTTCTCTCATCCAGGGTATACTCTTTGTCAATATAGAAAAATGGAAGAGGTGAAGAAGCCAAAGTTCTGTTGCAGGGATGAACAAATTTGATACATGGCCACCCAAGATGTTGGACAGATAATATGTACAGTGAGGTTGGGGTTCATTCAGATTGTATCTTGTGTGCTTACTTTCTCAACCATCAGACTTGTGGGTCAAAACCAGCTGTGGGTGAAGGATATTTGTGAGAAGTATCTGTGCTCACCTCTTACTGTCAGTCTCTATGGGTCTCATGGCAGCTGCAGGAGGAGGGCACTGTATGACTTCACTTCAGTATGGATACTTATATACACCTCTATGTGACTATCAGTCTCTACAGACCCCTTGCCAGCTGTGGAAGTTGGGTATGTTTGTGATTTAGTAGAAACCAGTAATAAGATTTTCCCCTAGACTCTATTAAACATACATTGGCTGCAAAAGGAGGGTTTGTGTGATATAGGTATTGAATGTACTAGTATAGTGAATTGTATCATCAGTCCATATGTAGTTTGTGATGTGTGATATATCATAGATATACATGTGGGATGACCCACACTACATTCACTTTTCACCATAATGAGATTTCTTGTTCTAGCTCTAACAATTAGATCACAATCAATGAGGATTCTCCATTACCCACTAGAAACTGGTAAGTGCAAGGGTCTCCTTTACTCCACTCACTAAGGGGGGAGGGATTTGCATAGGGGAGACCCGGAAAATGTGCCCAGATCTCCAATGGCCCTTCAATATGGAAGGGTACTTTACTGGAAACAGTGCAATAAGAGACAGCAAAACCATGTTTTTAAAAGCCAGCAAGTGCAAGCCAAAGAAGTGGACTGTTCTGGTGGTGGGTTTTTCCATAACAGTCCATGGAATAAGTTAAGGGTTTGGAATGGACAAGAATGAAATATATATCATGAGAAAACTTCAACTGGTCTTGCAGAACACCATATCTGAAAGTTTGCACATGTACAAGCAGAGTAGAAGGTGAGTGTTTTCTGTTATCCTGGCTCAATGCAGATTTTGGTTAAGTATACTTTGGAAGGCAACACTAACCACTTAGTGGGATTCTAATGAATGAAAGAGGTCCTGAAAGGGAAATAGTGCACATTTTACTTAAAGATGGTAAGACAAAGAAAGAATGGTGACTTGTGGAAACCAAACATAAGTAGGAGATAAAACAACCAGAAGGTACAGAGATGGAGATGTATGTGTGAAAAAGAGTCCACATGCCTGCCTGGGAAAGCTTGTTCACGGATCAACAAAGAAGTGGAAAAAAAATGAAAAGGGTGATAATGGAATGGAAGCATCAACATCTTCAGACAAACGTGTCAACAGAGCAGTTGATGGGCCCCTTCTGAAAAGAAAGAAGAATTGAGATTCAGGGAAAATAGGAGTCCCAGAATAAAGACAGATGAAGACAGCACCATTAAAGAAAGAGGGGCATGATAAAGCACACTGAATTGTTCAATAGGACACAGGAACCAAGCCAAGGCTACTCAGTTGATAGTATACAGAACTGACCAAAAGAAGTGGATCACCAATGAGTAGGAAGCTCTTGGCAAATGATTTAAACAGGCACAGAAGTACATAGTTAACCTAAAACAAAAAGGCCCCAGAACAGAAGCTACAATGATAGCTGGAGCAAGGAAAGGTCTTGGAAAAAATGAAGTGAAGCATGACCAAGTGAGCAACCAGTAGGAGAAGGAATGAGAATATGAATGACAAAAATGAGAGAAGATCATGCACATTGATGAGGAGTGGACATTAATTTAACTTTCAAACATCGGAAGACCAACCCCTCCACAAAAATGTACCTAAATCCAAGAGAAAAACATCAAAAAAGGGGAGATCTTGTCTGAAAGATGGTAACGGAATGCAGGAAGTAGGACAGGAATGGTTCAGTCATCCTGACAATTCATAGAGGAGAGGCTCACAGAGGACAAAAGAACCTAAGAAAGAAAATTCAGGGTCTGTAAGGTTTACTGTAGGAGATAAATGAAGGCATACTCCAAATGAAGGGGGAGTTCTAGAGAAGTCAGAGTCCTTGAAAGAGAAAGAACAAGAAATGTAAAACCCAGTGACTAGATAACCCATAGTTCACAGGAAAAAGAAGACAGGCTGAACTTGGTTGAGGCAACAGAAAAATGAAATGTCCAAAGTGTCCAACATCAAGTAAGTATGAAAAAGGACCCAGATCTCAAGACAAGTCCCCCCTCCTAACCAAACAACTACTGTAAAAGGAGGGAGGTGGGAATAGAGGAAACATCCCGCAATGGTTAACAGAAATAAATAGTCAAAGAAAAGAAATACCAGCCATGGGTCATGAATATGGCAAGTGAAGACCTCCACAATGCCAACAAATACAATAGGGGCCAATGCTGAGGCAAAGGGAAAAGCAAGGAAATGGAAGACTCAAAAAAGAATGGAGAGGACAGAAAAAATAAAGAGGATGGGCTGAGAGAGATGTTGAGAAAGGCATCTGATAACTGAGTGAAAAAAGACCATAAATGGAGTTGACAGAGGAAAAATGGAAAGAAAAAAAGAGAAGAATAGCAGAAAAAGAGACTAAGTTTAATAAATGGAAAATGACCGTTGGTAGACCAACAGCAGCAGGAGAGAAAGATACCTACAGAATCATACGTGCGTTATAGTCACTAGCAAGAATAGTAAAATATGATCCTAATAGATTAGAAAAAGAAGATGACCTGGGATACAGAATGGAAAGGTGAGAAGTAGATAGACCTGGACGAGGAATAGGAGTTAAGGTTAAGAAAAGGAAAAAACTGGAAACAGAATGAGAAGTCATATTATAAAGACCAGGTAACCAGGAGGAAAAGAACACCACAAAAGACATCTGGGCAAAGAAAGGGAGCCAGACAAATAATACGTCCACAAGAAGGAAAGAAGAGGTACTGTAAACCCAAGGAGTACTGACAGCAGGGGAAATACGTATGGAGGGATAGAGCAGATGAAGTGGAACAGGCCAACCAGAGAAGAGAATGATTGTCCACAGAAATTATCAGAAGCATGAAGAAGTGCAACAAATAAAATATGAAGATAGGAGACAAAAGAGTAAAAAGAAAAAGATTAAAAATGCAAAAAATAGGGAACTAAAAACTGAAAAAAAAAGATAAGGGTCCTGATCCCGAAGATGGCCAGATAGAAACCAGTGGTAAGAACTGGGAAAGGAAGAAAGTTGACAACTTGAAAGTTGTCAAGTTGAAAGTTGAGGGGGGGAGGGGTAATTCAAAATACATTGAACAATGACTGCTACAACCTGGACAGTTAACAGACCTCCAAAAGCTACAGCAGGTTTAAAGCCTGAGTGTGAACAATGTCTCACACTCAGAACTAATTATAAATTACCATCATTTGAGAAATCAAGATAAAATACTAAAACTTTTGAAGTTAAAGAAAGTGAAAATTAAAGTTTTGTTAATGATGCAAGTCTTATTAAAATTTAATACAGATGGGAAATTTAAACACGTCTGGTCAATACAGTGCCAAGGAGAAGAATGAAGATTTACAAGTGCAAATTCATAAGGAGAGTTGGTGCACATGGAGATGTGTTGCTCTCCTATTGGTAGAGGGCCTTTGTTGCATGAGGTCATCATCATGCAGTTGCACAAATTCACATGTAATTAGGTGCGAGTTTTCACAAGATTAATAGCATGCAACTCTCCTTGGCAGAACTTGCAGAAGAGCTTGAGAAGATAGCTAAACTTTGTGAAGGGGCGAGTATTCATTTTGGAAATTTCAGTATCTGGACCAGAAGAAAGCCTACAGTCTTTATAATTATGTACATGCCAGGACAAGTTTTAAAATATGATGCAGAAAATTCCATTAGTAAAAAGTGACAGTATGGATTATTTATATATGGAATGTTCTTGAACATTCTGAATAATGTGGAATAATCTCTAATTTTTTAAAATGTGCTATAATATTTCATAATAATATGCTAGAACATTCCATAATACCAAAGAACCTTCCAGAATTGTTTAGAATATTGTGGAACGTTCTATAATATTCAGATATAATGTGAGCTATAAGGTAAAATGACAACTACTTTGAGCAACCCCTAAATGTTATTCAATATGGATAAAATTTGGTGTTAATTACTTATTTAAATATTGGAACAAAATGACTGAGTGTGTTGTAATTTAAATCTTCAAAAATAAAGGCCACTCTATTGTATGTATGTATGTATATATATATATATATATGCGCAAAAGGCTATCAATTTTCAGTCATTTGCTAGTAAGAATAACTTAATTAGCAAAATGCTTCAGTTAACAAACCTTTAAATTAAAGTAACAAAAGTTGATTTTTTGGAAAAATTAAATATTTTTGGCCATTATTAATGAATTAAAATTTAAGTTATATTAGCAGGTTTATACAAAATATCCAATTTATTTTCTTTAAGAACAGTGTAAATTTACTTTGAGGTTGTAACTGAGTATTTCAAACCTTCCAACTGTAATGCAGATACATTTAGACTAAGAAGGTACAAGTACACTGCAATAATGTGGAACAGTTGGAATACAGCAACTAATATTTTCGATGATGAGTAACCCACTTTGAGACTAATAATGGTTGGAGATGGCTTGAATGGGTAATGAAGAAAACTTTAATATAAGTTTAACATAACAGCAAATGTACAAAGTTTTGTCATCATCAGAGTGGATTCCTCGTCATAGAATTTGAATTCATCACGGCAATTAATCGAGGTTGTGTAAGTCTAAACGTTTATCTTTGTTATTCCATG